CTAAGAAATCAAAGTCCACATCACTGTCATCACCATTACTCACATCTGAGCCCAGGCCATGGGAGAATATGAATTTTTGCTTACAGTGTGGTTGAGATGGATGTGTTTTAGATGAACCAACTTCAGAAACAGATAGTTTTGGGTCATCAGGGTTTTCAGTGATAGTTCTGGTATTCTGAGCATCGATTTCAGTCGCTATATGTTTGGAACTAAAGAATTGTTCATCGGTTCAATATTCCTTGCTGTTGGAGCTGTCACTGAGGAATAAAACTCATTCAGTTCACTTGGGAGTGAGGATTTTGTGTCTGTGTGGCATGGTGAACAAGGTGTACCAAATATGTCTTTCTCACAATGCACTGTGGGGGGGGGGGAAGCAGTTTTTTGTATACTGTGCACACTGACCATGCAGACCCATCCTCTAATATGCAGGTTTACCAGGCCTCTTGCGCCAAATTTGAAACCACTAGAATTTTATGTACATCTACGTAAGGGACCCTGGCATCAATAACATAGATCTATGTGATGGCCATTGAAGGAGTTAACCTTTAGATATGTGAATGGGGAGATATTAAGTGTGTTATTCACAATATTTATTTCATCTATGTGTTGTGTATGTACAGTGGTATCATGTCCTTCCAAATAAGCCCAAATGTGGATAAGCGGGAAAAAAAAAAGATGAACTCAATTTTGGTTTTCAGAGATAAAATTGAGTTATTTAAAGGGCAAAGCTTAAGACATGTCCCTTTTGCTGATAGGAAAAAAGGGAAAATGCAAAGAATAAAAACAAGTTTTTTAAAAAAACACTACATACAAAAGATGGCTATGCTAAACACAAAGGGAAGTAGCTTGAAAATACTAGAACGCTTTTATTGCAAACACCTTTTATAACCGGATTATTTTTACAAGAGGGGGCAAGTGATACACCCACTAAAAAATTAAAAAAAAAAAAAATTAAAATTTTTGGAGTTGGGTCAGTAAATTTGGCTGCTCCTGTACTACAGATAGGTAAGTAATTAAAAATCAGTACGGTTTTCCTTCTTCTTTTTTTATGAATTCCTTTTTGCCAATTTGCTGTTATGTTTTATCCTGTTTTATCAATGAATCTGCTATACGTTTTCAGTTTTTGCAGTTCTCAAGTTTATTTTTAAAATTTTTGGGCTTTGGAAAAATAGTGTGAGGCCGCTTGAATGAAAACACCTAATATTGTGGATAACAAAATGGCAGCCAGTTTTAAACTGAAATTTGGGGGGGGGGGGCCCCCTAAAAAGGGTTTTAAATGAAATTTTTTTTTTATTTTTGGCGGAAAGGTTTAAGTGCCCCTTTTTTGGATTAATCCCCCCCTTTCTTGAAATTTTTGATTATCCTTTTTCCCTCTTGTTAAGAACCCAAAAACCAATTCCGCCTAAAAAACCCCCAGGGGCAGGAAAAAATTTCAGTAAATGCTAATATCAACTCTGTGGCTTATTTATCTATCATAATTGATCTGATATGACATATTAAACACTGTAAATAACATAGAAACACAATATATACTCTAGAATGAATAAAATAGGCTATAATATGGCGAGTGTCCAGGACCAGTCCTAGCATATAAAATGATTACCGTTCCTTCCTATAACGTAAGAGAAAATGGAGTTTTTGAGAGGCTAACTGCACTAGATCACTAGTGCAGTGATATATGAATAACCCGGAAGTAAGTTATTGACTTATTTCATGAAGCCCACCATTTATTATTGACCAGGAATCATAAAAAAATGATTGTTCTACAATTGGCTTGTAATATTGGAAATTTTTTCTAAATATTTTTGGGTTTTGTGGGGGAAAAAGGGCAAGTTTTTTTTGCCATGTCAGAAACTTTTCAACTTCACTTTTTTTTAGAATAACTAAAGAAATTTTCATTTTACCTCCCTGAGAACTCGCACTAGCATTGTTTTATAATAAAAAGTCCCAAAACCACCGTTGTTTGCCATTTTGTCGGGGTTATTGCCCCGAGTAAATTTTAGTAAAAATTTTTTTCAGTAAATACTTTTTTTCGCACGTAACTGTTTTGGGTTGCAACCAAAACAAAAAATCGACCAGTAAAGCTCTAATCGGAAAACTCATAAGTTGGGGGCCCCGTGAGTCAAGGGACCATGTACTTGAGGGAAGTGGGTGTGCCTTGCTTGCGTGAACCCCATCGACACATGATTTAAGACTAGATTTTTTTCGTTGAACACATGTTAAATACACAATTTTTTGATGAGGTAGTGTGATTATTGGGGTTTACAGGGATGCAACCCCCCGTTCGTTTAAAGAGGGTTTTTTTTTGCTCTTTTGTGGAAAACTTGGGGTTTATTTTTATGGACACTGACAAACCCCAAATTTTTCCAAATTTCTTATTTATTTCATCCCCTTTTTTCTCAGTTTAAGTCTGGTACAGCTCTTCAAGCAAAACTTTCTCTACACATTAGTACTTGAAAAAATTTATTCCTCACTTTAACATTTCCCGAAACCCTTTTAAATTTCTTCATTCAAAAGAAAACAGCATGCCTTTTACAGTTTTTTCATGCATCTACTGTACATTGTGTAGCTATGTTACATGAACTTACTCGTTTTTTTGTCATCAACCCCCCCCCCCCTCCTATTTCTGCTGTTCTTTTCATCAACCCCCCCCCCTCCCCATTACTGCTGTTTTTTGTCATCAACCCCCCCCCCCATTATTAGTGTATTTGACCCCCCCCCTTCCCTATACAAATGTACTCTTCTCTCCTCCTCTCTCTCTTTTTTACACAGGGTTTTCAAAGGGTTGGTTAAGGGTCCTAGCTTTATTTAAAGCTATTACAAGTTAAGGATTCCACCTTTTTTGGCAGGCTAAGACTGTTACCTACATCGCCATTTGAAAGCATTTTTATGTCATGAAACATACAAATAGGGGAAAAGGAAAGGTTGGAACCCTTTGGGCCGCATTTTCATTTTTCAATGATTTATCCGTTGACATCATTATGCGTATAAATGGTTCCATACTCAGCCATCCTGGGTATGACTCGGTAGGAAAACCCTTTGTACAGCATAAAAAAATGTCAACGAGATAAAATCCCGTTGATCAAAAGAAAATGCTGGCCCAAGATGGCTCCCAAATTCATCCGTTCCCCACTTGTATGTTTCATACAATAAAAATGCTTTCAAAAGAGCTGATGTAGGTAACAGCTCTTAGCTTGCCAATAAAGGTAGGAATCCTTAACTTGTCAATAGCTTGTCAAAAAAGCTAGGGGGTCCTTAACCCTTGTCAACCCCGTTTAAAAAAAAAAAAGGAGATAGAGATATCTCTCTCTATCTCTCTCTCATTTTTTTTACACAGGATTTTACAAGGTTCCTAACTTTGTTTACATGCTAAGAGCTGTTACCTACATCATCTCATTCAAAAGCCCCACCTCCCTCCCTCCCTTCCCCTCATCTCATGTTATTTTTATTTTTTTTTTATTATCACACTGGCCGATTCCCACCAAGGCAGGGTGGCCCGAAAAAGAAAAACTTTCACCATCATTCACTCCATCACTGTCTTGCCAGAAGGGTGCTTTACACTACAGTTTTTAAACTGCAACATTAACACCCCTCCTTCAGAGTGCAGGCACTGTACTTCCCATCTCCAGGACTCAAATCCGGCCTGCCGGTTTCCCTGGACCCCTTCATAAATGTTACTTTTCTCACACTCCAACAGCATGTCAAGTATTAAAAACCATTTGTCTCCATTCACTCCTATCAAACACGCTCACGCATGCCTGCTGGAAGTCCAAGCCCCTCGCACACAAAACCTCCTTTACCCCCTCCCTCCAACCTTTCCTAGGCCGACCCCTACCCCCGCCTTCCTTCCACTACAGACTGATACACTCTTGAAGTCACTCTGTTTCGCTCCATTCTCTCTACATGTCCAAACCACCTCAACAACCCTTCCTCAGCCCTCTGGACAACAGTTTTGGTAATCCCGCACCTCCTCCTAACTTCCAAACTACGAATTCTCTGCATTATATTCACACCACACATTGCCCTCAGACATGACATCTCCACTGCCTCCAGCCTTCTCCTTGCTGCAACATTCATCACCCATGCTTTACACCCATATAAGAGCGTTGGTAAAACTATACTCTCATACATTCCCCTCTTTGCCTCCAAGGACAAAGTTCTTTGTCTCCACAGACTCCTAAGTGCACCACTCACCCTTTTCCCCTCATCAATTCTATGATTCACCTCATCTTTCATAGACCCATACGCTGACACGTCCACTCCCATATATCTGAATACATTCACCTCCTCCATACTCTCTCCCTCCAATCTGATATCCAATCTTTCATCACCTAATCTTTTTGTTATCCTCATTACCTTACTCTTTCCTGTATTCACTTTTAATTTTCTTCTTTTGCACACCCTACCAAATTCATCCACCAATCTCTGCAACTTCTCTTTAGAATCTCCCAAGAGCACAGTGTCATCAGCAAAGAGCAACTGTGACAACTCCCACTTTGTGTGATTCTTTATCTTTTAACTCCATGCCTCTTGCCAAGACCCTCGCATTTACTTCTCTTACAATCCCATCTATAAATATATTAAACAACCACGGTGACATCACACATCCTTGTCTAAGGCCTACTTTTACTGGAAAGTAATTTCCCTCTTTCCTACATACTCTAACTTGAGCCTCACTATCCTCGTAAAAACTCTTCACTGCTTTCAGTAACCTACCTCCTACACCATACACCTGCAACATCTGCCACATTGCCTCCCTATCCACCCTGTCATACGCCTTTTCCAAATCCATAAATGCCACAAAGACCTCTTTAGCCTTATCTAAATACTGTTCACTTATATGTTTCACTCTCATGTTGTGCTGTACAAACATGTTCCAGACATAAATATTCCTAGGAGTAAATTATCTCTCTCCCTGCCCCCTTCCCTCTCCCTTCTCCATATTTAATATGTTCTATAAATTAATCAGGATAACTAAACGTTAATTTTTCATCCACCAGGGTCTCAAAGAACTAAGTGAGAGTGTTGCATCCAATCTGATGGGTCAACGGGTAGGGTCCCCAGCCCAGCAGACCCCACCGATGAACCTTCCTACACCGGGTGTAGTAACAGTCATTGACACACAAGTATGATTTTTAGAATTTTGTTTTTATTTTGTATTGTTGGACTATAAATAGCTATCCCATTTTAAAATATCTTATGTGTTCATTGTTTGTTTATTTTCTTATTTTCAGTAACATCATTTCTGGATATCTTTAGAATTTTTCTTCTCATTGATCTGTACTGATTATAACCTTACTCACTTTTTTTCAAACATAGTGAGATGAATAAAAAATATCACCATCCAGTATTGACCCACCTAACTTTAGCCTCCTCATTCCTCTATAATGGTATGGCCTCGACTTTCCAGCTTGCAAAACTCATTGCCAGCTTAACCAGTTTTCTGTCATGCCTCAGCAACACGTCAGATGCCATAGTCTTCCCATTGCCACTCACGTCTCTTTAATAAATAAACTATTACTTCCTCAGATGCTTCCTGCATCACCTCTAATGCTCCTATCTTGCTTCCTCTCATCTCAAAGACGAGGTCATCTCAGCAACTTTCTTTTTCTACTTGACTTACTCTTTTCATCTCTAATAACTTGAATTTATATTCATTTCTGCATATACTTTTCACCTTCACTTTCCAGTCTGTCCTTTCAGTCTGTTCGGCAGACTTTAATGACTCTTCATTTTATATTTCTCTTGCTTCAGTTTAGGGAAAGTATACCTTATTGCTTCCTTGAACAGAGAGATTTCTGTAAAATGTCTAGTCTGAAATAACATTGGAACAACAGTATAGATACTGAAGAATAGTAATTTATGTATGAATTTTTGTAGTGTATTTTCTCTCTTCTGTATTGATTGTTTATGTAATTTAATATTGAAATGTTATATAGTAATTAAAGCTTGTACTTTGACACAGATGGTGGGCTCGGGTGAGATAAGTCTTATGAGTAGTGGCACAGCTAATGGCATCGTTGCTCACTTTTCTGCCCATCATGGAGCTCCAATTGTGGCTCTCAGCTTTGATCCAACAGGAATGTTGCTCCTTACAGCTGATAAACAGGGTCACAACTTTCACCTCTTCCGCTTGCAGCCTCATCCTCTGTCTGCTGCTCAATCTGCTGTTCATCATCTTTACACACTACATCGAGGAGATACCACAGCAAAGGTGAAGGGGCAGAATTACTTGAGGCATGTTATATTTGCAATTGGAAATGTGGAGGAAAATATATAATGAAAATTGTGTTTGTTTAGTGGTTGAGTGTAACTACAAGATATGATAATCTTTGTTTAGTTTTGGGGCTTTTGTCATGAAACCGGTGACTTGAAGCTGGTACCACACCTTTTGTCAGTATAATCTAATTACAAAACAGTTATATTAAATTCATGTTTATCAAGAACAGAGATTTGAAAGTTAAAGAATTAGCCTTATGTTGGTTGTATCTTATCCTTTATACCTACTTGGTTATATAAATATTTTACTGTGATACTGTAAGCTGAAAATGGCAGTTGGGGGTCTTCTTGAATTAATGTAATCTTGATTTCATAGTAGGAAAAGAATGTGTTGTTGGTGTTTTTTAGGACAAGTGATTTTTGTGACATAAAGGATATCTTTAATGAACAAAGGAATTTTATTTTAGTTTTTATTATAGTTTGTCTTTTTTTCATATTGACTTATTCATGAAATATTTATTTTTCAGGTTACTGACATATCATTTTCCCTCGACTCACGTTGGGTTGCTGTATCAACTCATCGAGGAACTACACATGTTTTTCCCATAACTCCTTATGGGGGAAATATTGGAGTTCGTACACACACCTCAAACTGTGTAGTTAATAGGTAAGATAATAGGGTGGTGTGAGTGAATGTTCAATTCACTGATCATCAGAGGTTTCAGTTCATGTTGAAAAATGTTTCTGAATAATTTTGAAATGCTGAATTCAAATCTGCACTTAGTTTTGCTGTAACACACAGTTTCTGTGAAATAGAATGCCACGGTAAGTGATTTCCATAAGACATAGACGTCACGAAGAGTTATCAGGGAAACTTGACAATCATTTTGATAGTTGACTGATAGCAGGGAAACCTGATGATCAATTTGATGGTCTGCTATTGCTGGACACTGGTGTGGGACAGCAATACCGAATACCAGTGAAAAAAATTGAAAACCGCGATATAAATATGTTTGTATAACTATGGAAATTTCTGTTATATTGGTTATGCATATCTTTCTTCTTTCTTTCAACACACTGGCCACATCCCACCGAGATGGGGTGGCCCTAAAAAAAAAACGAAAGTTTCTCCTTTTACCTTTAGTAATATATACAGGAGAAGGGGTTACTAACCCCTTGCTCCTAGCATTTTAGTTGACTCTTACAACACGCATGGCTTATGGAGGAAGAATTCTGTTCCACTTCCCCATGGAGATATGTTTAAATAAACAAGAACAAGAACTAGTAAGAAAAATAGAAAACCCAGAAGGGTCTGTATATATATGCTTGTACATGCATGTGTAGTGTGACCTTTATGTAAGTAGAAGTAGCAAGACCTACCTGCATGTTTATGAGACAAAAAAGACACCAGCAATCCTATCATCATGTAAAACAATTACAGGCTTTCATTTTATACTCATTTGGCATGACAGTAGTACCTCCCTGGGCAGTTGCTGTCTACCAACCTACTACCTAGGGGTTGTGCATAGATATATTGAATTTACAGCAAGAACGATTAGTTTGTCATTGTATACACTATCCTTATCCATATTATAGTACCTGTGGTTGTTAGGTAATGTATATATTGTGGTTCTTCAGCCATACAAAGTCAAAATGCAGTGGACCCCCGGTTAACGATATTTTTTCACTCCAGAAGTATGTTCAGGTGCCAGTACTGACCGAATTTGTTCCCATAAGGAATATTGTGAAGTAGATTAGTCCATTTCAGACCCCCAAACATACACGTACAAACGCACTTACATAAATACACTTACATAATTGGTCGCATTCGGAGGTGATCGTTATGCGGGGGTCCACTGTATTGATTATAAGATTTCAAAAAACCTTAAGTGAAGGAGACTAAACAAGCTCAAATTTGTGATCATTGCTTCACTGTCAGAGGGTTAACCCTTTAACTGTTTTGGACGTATATATAATCTTACAAGCCAGTGTTTCAGACGTATATATATTCAGACGAAAGCTGGTAGGCCCACATGTGAGAGAATGGGTTGGTGTGGTCAGTGTGCACTGTATAAAAAAAAGTCCTGCAGCACGCACTGCATAATGAGAAAAAAAACTGATCGTTTTTTGGATTAAAATGCCGACTTTGAGGTGTATTATCGTATAGTATTTATGGTTGTATTCTCATTTTCTTGGTCTCATATGATAGAATGGAAAACATATTACAGAAATAGAGATGATTTTGACTAGTTTCACGATGTGAAGGACCTTGAAATTGAGCTCAAAGTAGCAGAAATGTTCGGTTTTTACCAATATTCAAGAGTAAGCAAATCACACCACAAGTCCAATACACGTCAACTGGGGAGTCTAATATTCTTTCACTAGTGCACTAATATTATTTATACCATTTTTACAATAATGCAGTAGTCTGCATAACAGTAAATCTTCTATTTGTTGTGTGAATAAAAAATCAAAATAGAAAGCAAGAGTAATATAAGAGGGGCCTGGAGACATGATTAATGAACAGAGGATATGTTATTTTAGTGCCAAGAATGACTGCATTGTTTATTCTGGACCTTATTTTGAAATTGGCATTTTTTTATTTGCATGAAATTGGCTAAATTGCCAATTTCTGACCACTTTATTGGGTAGTTGAAATCGGTAATTCCACAAGTTTTCGATCAAATTTCATACTTTTGGTGTCATTAGCATTGGAAAAAGATTCTCTATCATAAGAAAAAATAATTTTTTTTGCCCAAAATTTTGCGACATAGTGTGACAGTTTGAGAAATGGGCTTGTGACAGTCAGAGGGTTAAATCAACTATAGTAAGGCCCTGCTTTACGGCGTTTCACTTTGTGGCGTTCCGCTAATACGGACATTTCAAATTATGACCAAAACTCACTATGCAGCTCCCCCCACCTGACTTTCTAATACGGTCACTGCGCCCCACCCGGTTTGTTTACATTCTCCATGAGCTCCGTAAGCTCCACGTCTCTCCTTTATGTCCGGAAACTCCAAAATTTCAAGTGTTTTTAAAAGTTATTTCATATTTTATATTCTTCTTTCAACAAACGTGCTGTATGTATACCTGTACTACCTAAATAAACTTACACACTGTGCTGGCGTGCAGGTACACATTAAAATCAATAAGAGTGTCTTATTGATTTTAATGTGTCTCGAGACGCCATATTAGTAATAATGTCTCGAGACACCATATTAGTAATAATAATAATAATAATAATAATAATAATAATAATCACCGAGTCTCATTAAATGTCTTATGTTAAGTTAATATACACATTTTCATTAATCCCTCCATGATATTTTTTCAAAATTACATAAACATGATATGTAACATATAAAGATGATAAATACACCCCACAGTAGAATAAATAAACACAAATATGAGATCTGGTAGCCAGACGACTTGTACGAGTGACGGCAAGAATAATGTTTTCTCTAGTCCAACATCAGAGAAAATGTGTTACTGGGGGGTAACTATAGAAAATTATTCCTTTCGTATACCTTCACTCAGAGCGTCATTTCTTCTAAAAATGGTGTTACATGAGAATGGGAGTGTTCCTCATTATTTATTCTACCGTATCAACATAGAGACAACTTGTACACAATGTAACTTGTACACAAACCAGACGTGTTCGCCTGGTTTGTTTATATAACTCTGCGCCTGTCCTCATGTACTTATTCTCTCTCTCGTTTATTTGTTTTATCTCGTTTACTTACCTCTGACCCTACATTAAGACTACAAATATTTTAAGGTAAGTAATGAGTGAACTGGATATGCATTTTATTGCTCTGGGACGGTTGAATGTCATAGAATACTATGTGTGGGTGGGGTGGCCTGGTATGGTAGCCTGGTTGGCTACCATACATACCACACTTGATTTCTTACAATAAATACAGTGGACCCCCACCTTACGATGGCATTGCATTACGTTAAATCTGCCATATGATACATTTTAAAGCAAAAATTTTGCCTCACCTCACGCTAAAAAACTCGCCTTATGTGATTCGTCTGGGACGCGTCCCACGTGTGGCCTCAGCACCAGTGTTTACAAGCCAGCCAGTGTGGTCGCATCCACGCATACATTCGGTACATTTCACCTTTTCCCAGTGTTTTTTTGTGCTTGTAACTGCAAAATAAGTTACCATGGGCCCCAAGAAAGCTTCTAGTGCCAAGCCTGTGGTAAAAAGGATGAGAATTATTATGGAAATTAAGAAAGATTTTGAAGGGTTTGGGGCTAACTTTGAGAAGCCTATGCCAGTTGTGGAATCCATTGTGCCTGCTTCAAAGATTAAGGAAATGTGTGCAAAGTGGGTTGAAGTGCAAACCTTTATGGATGAAAGTCACCCTAACACAGCTATTGGAAGCCGTGCTGGTGACTATTACAATGACAATGTTCTGGTCCATTTTAGGCAAATCTTAAAGGAACGGGAGGTACAGACCTCTATGGAGAGATTTGTTGTGCGACAGAGGTCCAGTGACTCTCAAGCTGGTCCTAGTGGCATTAAAAGAAGAAGGGAAGTAACCCCAGAAAAGGACTTACTACCTCAAGTCCTAATGGAAGGGGATTCCCCTTCTAAACAATAACTTCCACACTCTCCCCTCCTCCCATCCCATCAATCATCACCAGATCTTCAATAAAGGCAAGATGTATTCTATTGTTAATAAGTAGTAATTGTGCATGTCTTCTTCAGTGTGTGTGTATTAAAATTAATATTTCATGTGGTAAAAGTTATTTTTTTTTTCATACTTTGGGGTGTCTTGCACGGATTAATTTGATTTTCATTATTTCTTATGGGGAAAATTAATTCGCCTTACGATAATTTCGACTTACGATGAGCTCTCAGGAATGGATTAATATTGTAAGGCGGGGGTCCGTTGTACTACTCATCTCACCCTAGATTAAGACTACAAATATTTTAAAGTAAGTAACGAGCGTACTATATGTGTATTTTACTTTTTTATTGTTTTTTAGTACATATCTAGTTCTATTGCTAACTTAATATATGTTAGTGTAAATTTGTTATCTGGTATTTATAAGTATTTATAAGTGGAAAAAAAGGGTGTTCCACTTTAAGGTGATTTCCGCTTTACGGCAGTAGCCTGGAACCTAACCTGTCGTATAAGTGGGGCCCTACTGTATTGACATGCCTCTGAAAAGACAGTAATGGAGTGAATGATGATGAAAGCATTTCTTCTTTTTCTGGGTAACACTGCCTTGGTGGGAAATGACTGATGTGTTAAAACAAAATACTGCCACAAAAAGATCACATAATTGTAATAGAAAGTCATACAGCCCTATAAATTGAGAGGTGCTATAAAAAATGGGACACAACCAGAATATGCAATGGTACATAAAACAAAAATTCTTAAGAGCCATGCCATAAATTGGCTACTATATCTAAGTAATATAAATTATAAAAGAAAAACTGAAAATGCTGGAGACTTCCTTGTTGGTGGATAAGGATGATAGGCAGAGAAGAAAGATCATGATAACCACATATGTATAAAATCTTTAAACAATATAAGAAAATAAAATATTATCTTGCATTTTTGTCACTATCACTATGGAAAACAAGAGGCCATTATTGCAATATAAAAATAATGATACTGAAAGGACCCTATAAAACATTTTATAAATAA